GATGGTAGTCAACAACAACAACAACAACAACAACCACCAATCCGGAAAATCCTCCGAGGTTTATTAATGATGATTGTATTCCTCTGGTTAGAAAAACTAAATTCAGGAAAATCTGTCACTTTGTCTTCCAATGTCCCCAAACTATAATATCTCCTCTGCAGGTGTCGCACCCACATCTCAGGTATTCAAGTGATTTTAAATCCTTTAAGTCTTAGCTACTGTAGTTAGGGACACGCAAGGGACACGCAGGGGACACGCAAGACCCCCTCGCGTGTCTTTTCACCCCTCCTTGCGTGCGTCGACCCATTTTTCTAGACTTGCGACGCAGCACCAGGCTGTGATTGGTCTGCTGACTACGTCCTTTACGGAGTCTCACGTCTCCGTTTTCACAGCACAATACGGCCGTTATTGAAAGGAAGAACGTCGACGAGAGAACGGATCAGATTGAAGAGCTTTTGTCTGAAGAAATGTGTAAATATGAGCACTTGTACGAGACACAGTAGCTTTAAAGGTGGACTCTAAACATAAGATCTGTCCCGTGAAGCTGTGCTATACCAAATCTAAGCTCCCTTTTTTATTTTTGTATAGTTTTAAAATATATTAACCTTTTTAAGCTCTTTTTAAAAGCTCATACGTAACCAGTTAAGATGAATGTGATCGTGTCCCCTTTTTATTTACGTGTGATGTTTTTTCCCCCACTTTTATTTATCTCTTTACTTCTGCCTGTATTTGTTGTGTCTCTGTTGGAAGTTAATAAACTGTTGTACTTTAAGGAGCAGTTTTCTGTGATTACTTGGTGAATATGCTGTGATGGTCTCTGCAAACGGTCCAGTGTTCAAAATGAAACCTTTTTAATTCTTTCCTCTTAATGAGGGAATTTCAATTGTGAGACTTATATTCTGGTTATTAGTCTCTTTATAAGCCGGTGCCCTGTTGTTCATTTGTTTTCGGAGTTATCTTGGTGATTATTGATCATTCTATTGATGTTAGCTCATCGGTAGCTGCTATCCTCTCAACAGGACTTGTATTGAGGTGCTTGTGGACACATGGGACGGGACATGAAATTATTATTGATTTTTATTGAGAAACACCACTTTCTCCACAGTATTGGGGTTGAGTCGGTTTCTCAGATACTGTTTCCCCAGCTTTAGAAAAAAGGCGCTCACGCGGCACGATGAGGCAGGAATGCTCATAAGATTACGTGTTAATACAAATAGATGTGGGTACACGTGTTTGTGTGTGACCCAATATTTTAGCGGGTCTTCACTCCGATGGATGTTTGATTCAGCCAAATATCTGGTGGTCTCCACAATAAAAATAAACATCCATAATTACACGATACAAATGACAGACTTTGCCTGCCTATTGCCAACCGTGTTAGAGGAAATCAAAATGAAGAGCTGCCACATCTCGGAGCGACCTCTCTCTGCCACAGGTTCCATTGGAAATTTGCGCTTTGCTACGACTACTACAAGTACTACTACTACTACTACAAGTACTACTACTACTACAACACTGACTTTGAGTGTATCAAGCAGACAAGACCGAACCCTGTTTCCAGCCCATTGAATCAAATCGAAGCGGTCACGTGACGCAGGGGCGCAGCTTCGGACGTCACTGATCACGTGATCAGCAGCGAACGAACCGAGCAGCGAGACGTTTCTTCTCCTCGCGCTGGTTCACATTTCGACACGAGCGTCGAAGCAGGAGGGTCGGAGGTAACGACACTACCGCTGAGTGGGGAGAAGCGGCTGGAAACGCGAAGCGGTTGGTGGTGAACCCGTGTGCTTCCACTCGGACTCATGCTCACTCCGGACGGTCACCCGGCCTCCCGCCCGCTCGGGGGTTGCCGGGGGACGGCTAGCGGGAGCGGACGCTCCGGCTACGGGGGCGGGCTGGCTAGCTACAGCGGCTAACGACGGAGATTCCGCGGCGCGGAGCCGCGCTTCTAGCTCACTAAGCCTCGCCTCCAATTCATCAAATATACTACACTTCTTACATGTACCATTATCCGTAAGGGAGGCAGAGGAATAGCTAAACATGTGACACACCGAGCAAGAAAGATCCCCGCTCAGGGGATCAGGTTGATTGGGGACGTTAAATTGCCCGTAGTGTGTGAATGAAGGCCAGTCCAGGATCCAGGCCGTATTTGTATTGAAGCTGATTTCGTTGTATTTTAGGTTTTTAAACGCGCTCGTTTCTACAAGCCCCGCCCCCCCATGACGCGAAGGGGAGAAGCGATGCGGATGTGAAAAACGACCATTCAACTTGCCTCTGGCTCTCTCCTCCGCACCGAGTGATGTTCGTGATACTTTTACGTCTCCTGACTATGATCCAGTTGGCGGACCTGGTCACAGGTAGGTTGATGTTATTATTCTACGAGATATATCTCAAATTAAAATCACTTTGTCACATGGTTGAACTATTCTGTTGAGGTTGTGAGGTTGCGCAGAGACGCAGAGAACCCTAACACGTGACATGCCGTCCGCTTTCCTGAGTTATCATAACAGTAGCTCTGTTCGTCAACGGTAAAATTCACTATGCCAGGAAAATGTCGATTTAATAATGCTTGGCTGCTTTTGGATAAATTCAAAGCATGGATTACAACCGACCAAGACCCGGTAAGAGCAGAATGCAGGTTGTGTGGAGGCAAATCTTTTGACATTTCGAACATGGGGGAGGCGGCATTAACTAGCCATGCGAAGGGGAGCCGACATCGGAGCGCTGCTGCTAGCGGAGGGACCGTGACCCCTATCTCCGACCTTTTCGCTACAGCGGCTACGGCAAATGCTCCTATCTCTGCTCGTTTGGGCTCGCGCCCCACTTCAAGAGTCTAACGTTGTCCAGCGTGTTGACTCAAAGGGCCTATGTCATTGTTGGAATGCATTAAGGATGCATTCTTACAATGAGCACAGGTGCGTCGTTGCCGTGGTTACTCGCTCACACGCTGCAGGATCTCTGTCTGTGACTCACAGCTGCTCCTATGACCTGATTAGTGGAGTCACATGACGCAGCTATGCTTTCTGTCAACAGACCAATATGATAAAGACACTCGCCCCCCCTCCCCCCTCCACCCTGACCTCTTCTCACTGTTAATCACTCACTAAGTCAGTCTGTCTATTTCTCCTCCTCTCTCTCTCCCCCTCTATCTCTTCCTCACCCTCCCTCTCTCTATCTACACCCCTCCACCCCACCCAATCCAATAATTTCAAAATAAAAGCCCCATGAGGGAGTTTTGACTGTAATGTTAGTGATGAGGCCTACTAATTAAAAACTTCTTAGTTTGAATAACAAACATTCTGTCTCCCAACCCCCCCTCACCCAATTCCATCATTACAAAATAAAAGCCTCAATGATTATCTGTACCTTAACCATGAAGCGGTTTCGTTGAAATACGTGTTGCTCTTTCAAATACTACTACAACCACTACGAATATTACTAGTACTTCTAGTAGAACTGCAACTGATACTTCTACTACCATACTACTAGTATTTCTAGTGCTATTAATACTACAACTACTACGAATGTTATTACAAATACTACTATGGCTAATAGTGTTAGTATTACAGCTGTTTCTACTGCTATTGATACTAAACAGACTTCTACTGCTAGTACTAATACCACAATTACAACTATAACTAATATTACTACAAACAATTTTTAACATTTTTATTCATCTCAGCTTTTATTTCTGTCCTTTTTTAAAATTCAATTAAGCTCTTGCAACTTCTGTATTTTTTAGAAAATCTATTGAAATTCAGCTTCCCCACTTCCTGTATTTTCAGCAGTTTTTTAAAATAATTTCAGCTATTCTTATGCCTCTATTAACAGCAATGTTTTAATATTCATTTCTGTATTTTTTTGCAATATTTCACATTTATTTCAGCTGTTTTCATTTCTGCTTTTTCAGCAAATCTATTTAAATTCCTTTCAGCTTCTCCCATTTCTGTATTTTCAGCAATTTCAATTTAATTTCAGCTTTTCTAATATCTGTCATTTCAGCAAATATATTCAAATTCCCTTCAACTTTCTGTATTTTCAGAAAGACAATGACAATGACTCCAGGTCACTGTGGACGTATGAAGTTGAAACGATTAACAAACAGCTGGAGACAAAAAAACAGTGTTACCAACAATATATAATCAGCTGAAGTGTGAACACGTGAAAGAAGTACACATTATTTCGGCCACATATTGTTAAAGGTGAAAATGAGCCTGTGTGTGTGTCTCTTCTCTCCTGCCGTTCCCCCCGGTGTGATTTGTGAATTTGTGTTTCCTCCAGGAGACCAACAACTCGTTTGTCTGGAGTCAATCCGGGCTTCCGAAGGTGAAAACGTCACTCTCCGATGTCACTCGCATCCCAAACTCCACTTGGACGAGCAGACGGTGGAAGTGAGCAGAGACGACCTCCCCGGGAGGGACAACATCGTCCACCTCTATCGGGGCAGAAAGGATGATTTTGAGAACCAGATGACTCGGTACAGAGACAGAACCAGTCTGGACCCTGAAGACCTGACCTCAGGAAATGTCACGCTGAGGATCTGCTCGGTAAACGAGTCGGACTCTGGACGTTTCGTGGTCTTTATCCCAAAGCTGCACATCCGGTTTGTCATTAACGTCACCATCAGTAAGCGTTGTTTTATTCTGACACAATCAACCTAACGTGTTTCTAAGCGTCTCCACAAAATGATCAGAGTGAATGTTAAGAAGAACACGAGAGATTAAAGTGACTAAAATGTGTGTTCTTTACACATTTTAACTTTTATCCATGTTACTAAAATATATTCCATCCTGCTACTGAGAACATTCTTGTATTCATTTCAACAGAAGCTAAAGACCCAAAGATCCAGACGAAGAGTCGTGATCCTACAAATGTCCCTCCAACGTCGGACGACCCCGGTAAAGTATTTTTGAATTATTCTTCATGAAACTCTGGTCTCCTCTTATTCCGTGGAGTCTTTGAACACAACATAATCTGAGCAGGACTTGTGTGTCTTAATGAAAACCTGCTCCTCTTCATCGTCTGTCTGATGATCCTTCAGGTGCTGAGAAGAAGACGGATGTCCGGATCATTGTTGGTTCTGTCCTCGGTGTCCTCGTTGTTGTTGTTGTTGTTGTTGGCTTTGTTCTTTTGAGGAAATATAAAGTAGTAGGTGAGTTACAAACTTCTCTCAGCATTGTGTTGTCGGTGGTGAAATGTACAAACTGCGCACAGACTCACATCTTGTGCTCCGACGTAAATAAGTTATTAATGTACGTTATAAAGCGATAAACACAGAGGATCTTGTTGAGATCCAAACCTGAGCAGACGTCACAGAACCTTCTCCAGCGTACCGCTTTAAAAGTATAGAATACTGCGTTACAGCACTTACTCATCAATAACTCGTTTATTAAGTAAATGGCAACAAACATAAATCTATTAAACAGAGAAAGTGAAATAAGGTCATTAATTTGCTCTTAAAGAACATATTACTTATTTATGTATCAGACACATTTCAGACTATTTTGTGGAAATGTTCCATGAATTAATTCCTGTACTACAGTTTTTCTCCAACGCAAACATATAAATAATGAAACCGTTGATCAACAAAAAGCCTCCAGACTGCTGAAGTCCAATATCTACATCTACATTCTTCACCATGAACCTTCTGAAGTTCTACGAATCAACGTCTCAAAGCTGTTTCCATGTTCTCACAGACATTTGGAGGAACTTCAGAGGAAGGAGGCCAAACAACGATGAACCGGGGACCAGACAGATGGAGCAGGGAGAAGACTCCGAGTTGATCGTCAACAACGACAATTCATCCGGAAAATCCTCCAACAAGATTTATTAAGGACAATTTTTGTGATCCCTCTGGTTAAAAAGCAAACAAAACTTTCAATAATACTTAACTAAACTAAACAATACTTTCTATTTTTTTAATAGTTTGAAATATGGCCTTTTCCAACCGGTTTTAAATACAAGAACAGTAACTACCTGAGATAAATGTTAGTAATAGTGTCCCCCGTTTCCCCCTTTTTATTCAGCTTAGTGAGTGACAGCTTCTTATCAGGGAGCTCAGTTGTTTCCTGCTGAGGAGGAGGAGGAGGAGGAGGAGGAGGAGGAGGAGGAGGAGGAGGAGGAGGAGGAGGAGGAGGAGGAGGAGGAGGAGGAGGAGGAGGAGGAGGAGGAGGAGGAGGTCTGAAGATGCACACTTCTCCTGTGAAGACTATTTAAAAAATATATACAAGTGTTTGTCAGCGCTCGGGTCCAAGGAATATATTTTCATGATGATTCTACTATGTGTTACTGTGTACTGTGAGTCATGTGTGCCAGAAGTGTTGATGTCGAATACTTTGTGATCAGACTCTACCTCGACTAAAAACACTAACAAATTAAAGCACTTAAACTGTACCTCTAATGGCTCTTATCTACAGCAAATTGTAAATCGGCTTATTTAATGAAATTGCGCTTTCTTGTTTCTTGTTCTTCTGAGTTTGTATCCTTATGGTTGAACGCACTAATTGTAAGTCACTTTGGATAAAAGCGTCAGCTAAATGACATGTAAGGGAATTATCTGAAAGACATGTTTTTTATGAAGATAAAATAAACTTTTTTTTAAAGCCTCTTGGATCAGCTGGAAAATGCACTTTCTCAAAGCTTTGATGAAGATCTTAAGATTATGATGCATTGATGCCAATTTCATTTCCACCGTAACGGACCATAAAAATGCATTATTCTAGATATTAAAATACAGCAGCACATGAATCCAGAAATATTACACTAATACTTATATTGAAACACTTGACAGGGAACAGTTCTTAGCACAATGAGAACTTTTACTCATTTGGCTCGTATCCTCTTTATGTTTACGTAAGACTTTTAATGCAAGACTTGTTTTGTGTGTCTCACTGTGTTATTAGTAGTTTTGAATAAGGAAAGGATCTAAATACTACTGATGATTTAGGTACGTAAGTCAGCCCTTAATTGTATTTAATGTTGCCTTAAATAATCGCTAAAGCCATCAGTAACACAGATAGTGAATTGCTTCTTAGAAACAGTGTTATTTTTAATGGAGTTCGGTGCTGAGATGCGACACGTTACAGAATGACGTAACAAAACAACAGCTGAAGTTCCCGGGGAAATATATTCCGCCAAAACTTTGTTCTACTGAAACTCCCGCCACCCATCCAGCCCGGCCTATCAAGCGCTGACGTAACTTCCGTCTTCAGGACAGGGCCAATCAGCATCCGAGAGGCCTTGCTCGTGTGCTTCAGCGGGCCAATCAGCGCGCAGCGACGCGTCACGCAGCTGATCGCAGAAGGAGATTTGGCGCTAGTTTGAGCTCAGTGTGCGGAAGGAGACGGAGAGGGACAGCGAGGGACAGAGACCCGCAGAGGACCTCCAGGAGAGAGAAGACATTCTGCTCAACTTTTAAAAAGGTAAATCTGTCATCTGACGCTTTAATTCACCTCGTGAAACCTTTCAAATGTGTTCGCGTTTCGACCGGAAGTGAGTTCTTCTTCTACTGTTCAGTGTCGGTTTGCTAACTTGGTTTAGCTTCTAAAGATACTTTTTACTTATTACTTTATGTATTTTCCTTAAGCAGTTTCTTTATAACGTAACGCGGTTCTGATCAAGCTGTTCTCGTGTTAATGTAGAACATTGTGAATGTTTTGTGTAAACGGAGCTGCTTGTATCGCTTCTTTCTTGGCGCCATTTAATCCCCTCACGCATTGTTCGTTCCGTGTGATTAAATCTAAATATAATGAACGGCTGGATGAGGACGTGAGTTACAAACTTCATACACGCCATAGTATCGATTCCCACATCACATTTTGTGGTAAATCTGACGTCGAACATTCAATTAACCACGTTCAATTTACTAAAACTTTTAACCATTTAGTTCCATCTGTTTGTTGACGTGAGGACTTATTGTACCACATCTACTGGATACTTTGTTACTTTGATGAAAAATATATAGTCCTGTATTGTATGTATGATATAATGAACCAACGTTACAGTATAAAGTAACTTGACCTTTTAACCAGCATTAAAAGGTTTCACACATTATTACATATAATCCGATAACAATGTGCATTACTCTGAAAGGGGCCGTTCTATTGTACTTTTTTACTTGAGTCAAGTTGTGATTGTAGTTTTATTACTTTTACCAGTTACATCGGTTGCCACCTCTGCTATTTATATTGTATGATGATATGTTTTAGTACATTATTGGTGCCCAACTATCTTATTAACTGTCTTTACCTTAGTAAATGTCGTGCATGTGTGCTCATTAAAGTAGTTTATACTTATTTCTATTATTGTACTAAGAACAGCATTAAAAGACTCAAAGAAAACACAATATGTCATCAAACATTTGCTCAAACACAAATATCCGGCCGTTATCTGTTATCCGCTTTGTGCACTGACGGATCGCTCCCCCCCCCCCCCGTGTTTCAGATCGACGATGCCGAGCACGCGCTCTGCTGGCCGGGCGCAGCCCACGCTCTCCTTCCCCCGCCGCAAGTCCTGCCGAGCCCCCGGGGCCCCGAAGGCGCTCCATCCGGACCCCACCGAGCCCGGGGCCCGGCTGCCCGCTCTGCCCCGGCTCGGCCCGCTCTCCCCCAAACCGCCGTCCGCTCACCCGCCTCCCCTCTCGCCAGGACGCCCCGCGCCCCCCCCCGCCCTCCAGCCGCGGCTTCCGCTCAGCCCCCGGAAACGCACAGGTGAGCGAAGGCGTGTATGTAACTCCAAATAAAGTACACGGCATGTAGGAGTACTACGACAAAGGACACGTTTTATTTGTAGTACTGTCTGTCTGTCCTTGATTGGTAATTAAAATCCTTCAGACGTCCCGATAAGACGTTTCTTCGACTTCAACCTCTCACCGTGTTTGTTTTTAAATCTCTCCAGGTGACGAGAACGGCTGTAACGTCGGCGCCGGCCTGCGCGGCTCGCCGCCGAAGCAAAGCAAGCCGACGGCGGCGTCTCCCAGGAAGCCGGAAGACGCCGAGAACTCGCCGGTCCCGGCTCGCCGGCGGCTGGTCCCGTCCTCGTCCCCGTGCAAACCGCTGTCCCCCTCGCCCGGGTCGCCCCCGAGGCGCCAGGAGACGCCGACCAGAAGCCCGGCGCGGCAGAAGAACGAGAGGAAGCCGCCGGTCGCTCGGCTCTTTGGAGAAAGTGAGAGGCGGCGCTTGTCTTTTAAAAACATTTCACACGGTCAAATATTCCAAATATTAACGTCCTCCCCCCCCCCCCCAGAGTCGAGGTTCCTCAGCGTGAAGCAGGCGCTGCACACCGCCGCCCCCGAGCGCCTCCTGTCCCGGGAGGCAGAGCGCGCCGCCATCCGCTCCTTCCTGGAGGAGAAGGCGCTGCGCCGCCGCGCCGGCAGCCTCTACATCTCCGGAGCGCCGGGGACCGGCAAGACGGCGTGCTTCACCTGCGTACTGCAGGAGATGAAGGTACTGCAGGAGTACTAGTGGTATTATGCTGCACAGATGAGGGTACTACAGTAGTACTAGTGGTATTATGCTGCAGGAGATGAGGGTACTGCAGTAGTACTAGTGGTATTATGCTGCAAGAGATTACTACAGTAGTACTAGTGGTATTATGCTGCAGGAGAGGAAGGTACTGCAGGAGTACTAGTGGTATTATGCTGCAGGAGATGAGGGTACTACAGTAGTACTAGTGGTATTATGCTGCAGGAGATGAGGGTACTACAGTAGTACTAGTGGTATTATGCTGCAGGAGATGAGGGTACTGCAGGAGTACTAGTGGTATTATGCTGCAGGAGAGGAAGGTACTGCAGGAGTACTAGTGGTATTATGCTGCAGGAGAGGAAGGTACTGCAGGAGTACTAGTGGTATTATGCTGCAGGAGAAGAGGGTACTGCAGTAGTACTAGTGGTATTACGATGCACGAGATGCGGGTACTGCAGTAGTACTAGTGGTATTGTGATGCAGGAGAGGAAGGAGTTTTAGTAGTACTAGTGGTATTGTGATGCAGGAGAGGAAGGAGTTTTAGTAGTACTAGTGGTATTGTGATGCAGGAGAGGAAGGAGTTTTAGTAGTACTAGTGGTATTGTGATGAAGGTCCACTTCCCCTAAGCTGCGTAGTTGTGATGGACGGAGACGTCTACAAAGAAGCGTCTTCGATGTCTTCACGTGTTGCAGTGAAACACGCCGACGACGAACCGTTCAGAGTGACGCTCGTTTAATCGTGTGATCTGCGTTTCTACGTCATGATCGTTATTTCTCGTGAACTGCTGAATGATGCGTCACTTTTTAAATATTGGGACAGAATTGTCTCCTTTCTTTTGGTGCAGTGGTTCCTATGCTCAAGCAGCCAAGTAAGGAAGCATTGACGCTCCTCTCCTTTGAATAGAACCGCTCTTTAGACTACTCTGCTGCTCACTGAGGACCGTTCCAATGCAGCTGTAGTCTCATCCGTCTTCTAAATGTTTAAATATGCAGGATTGTGTCAGGACGGATAAAAGATCAAATCACCGTTGTAACGGCGTCCTCTGCGTCCCCCCCAGGACCAGCTGGCGTCCCTGCAGACGGTGCTGGTGAACTGCATGAGTCTGAGGAGCTCTCACGGCATCTTCCCGCTGCTCGCCGACAAGCTGAAGGCGCCCGGCGGGCCGAGCGGGCTGCAGAGGTTCCTCACGGCCCCGGGGCCCCCTGTGTGAGTGAGCCCGGCTGGTTCCAGATGTGTGACGAGGCCCCGTTCAGCCTCTGGAAGCGTCTGTAGTTCATACGCTCGTTCATCTGTGTAGTGTTCTGCTGCTTGTTATATTTTAAGTCTAATATTTCATGTCGAGAAACCTTTATTTTGTCTTTATTCAGCTAAGTAAATCTTACCAGTAAGACAAATCATTTATATTTTATTTAATGGAGCCTCTTAACGACGCGTTTCTCACGCATGCAACTGAACCACCACATTTCAGAAGGAACTCCTTTAATGTGTCGTCAGTAGTGCAGAACCAAAGCCGATTGCAAATCTTAATCTGCTGGTCCGAGAGGAACTGAATCCCGCCTCCTTTTGATTGGTTCATGATGATGATCAGAAGGACAGCGATGACCCAGCTGTGTTTTGGTCCTCAGGCTCTTGGTTCTGGACGAGATGGACCAGCTGGACAGTAAAGCTCAGGACGTCCTCTACACCGTCTTCGAGTGGCCGTACCTGCCAGAGTCCCGCCTCTGTCTCGTCGGTAAGAGCTCCGCCCACCATGTAACACACCTGTGGCTGTGAGACTATTGTACATTCTTTGTTCCCATAATCTTAAAGATACTTTAAATAGTAAATAGGGTTGTTGTTGTTGTTGTTGTTTTCAGGTATCGCCAACGCTCTGGACCTGACTGACCGCATCCTGCCGCGCCTGCAGGCTCGTCCTCACTGTCGCCCCCTGCTGCTACACTTCCCCCCCTACAGCCGGCAGGAGCTCACGGACATCGTCCAGGACCGGCTCGCTCAGGTGGGCCCAGTTCGCGCCTTCAGCAGAGCGTGCGTGCGTTTGTGTGTCCAGACCCTTTTTAAACGTTTTGTCCCTCCCCCTCCTCCCCCAGGCGTCGGCTGACGGGATCCTCGACTCCTCGGCCGTTCAGTTCTGTGCCCGTAAGGTGTCGGCGGTGTCGGGAGACGCCCGGAAAGCTCTGGACATCTGCAGGTACCGGTTCCTCCTCCTCCCCTTTGAATCAACCAGCGCTGCTTCCTTGTTTTAATTCCTCAACTGCTCGAGAATTCGCTTGACGCACCTTTTCTTATTTTTATTTTTTCAGGAGGGCCGTCGAGGTCGTGGAGTCCGACGAGCGGAAGAAGCCGTCGGATCCGAGCGCTGACGGCAGGCCCCCGCGGGTCGGCCTCCCCCAGGTGGCGCGCGTGCTGTCGGAGGTTTACGGCGACCGCATGGCGTCTCCGGGCGGCGGCGACGCGGACGGGGAGAGCTTCCCGCTGCAGCAGAAGCTGCTGGTCTGCTGCCTGCTGCTGCTGACGCGCAGCGGGAGGAGCCGCGAGGTCGTCCTCGGGAAGGTGGGTCGCTCTTCGCCGTCTCGCTCTCTCGGCGGCGTTCCCAGATGTGCAGCAGGGGGCGCTGTCGGGCAGAGCGTGACGGCTTTTTGTTTCTCCCCCTCGGCGTCTCAGCTCCACGAGGTGTACAGCCGGCTGTGCCAGCGGCGGCAGGTGTCGGCCGTCGGTCAGGGCGAGTGTCTGTCGCTGTGCGGGCTGCTGGAGAGTCGAGGGATCTTCTCCCTGAAGAAGGCCAAAGAGGCTCGTCTCACCAAGGTACCGCCGATGGGGAACGCGCGTGTGTGTGTGTGTGTGTGTGTGTGTGTGTGTGTGTGTGTGTGTGTGTGTGTGTGTGTGTGTGTGTGTGTGTGTGTGAACGTGGTGTTGCTCCTCGTGCAAAGCGGCTGCACGCCGAGCGTCTCTTCTTCTCGTTCCACCTCTGGAATGATGTGGACTCGCGTCTCTTCCTGCAGGTGTTCCTGAAGATCGAAGAGAAGGACGTGGAAAACTCCCTGAAGGACCGAGTGCTGCTGGGCAGCATCCTGGCTGCCGGCCTCCCCTCCTGAGCTCCTCTTTGGATTAGTTTTAGTTCTTTAGCGTTTTTACTGAGACTTTGTATATATTTTATGAGATTTTATCTTTTTATTTTTTCTCTCACTGATGTTGACGCTCCGTTTTTAACGCGTCGGTTACAGCGTTTTGTTTCAGTTTGGAGTCGAATCGTTTCCATTTTAATGCTGTAAATAAACAAATGTGCAGAACTTTTAATCAATTCTCTTTTTGACTAATTTTGCCCAAATAATCCTGAATTAGTTTGTTTTTTGTATACAAAAAGGGACCAAGTAAACACTGAATATCAGCACGTGAGACTGAACTCAATACATTTTAAATAAAGGGCTGAAGTCTCAACAATCATTATGAGTTTATTTAAAACGTCCCCTCGCGTTTAGTTTTATAGCAGCAAACGTGAGTCCGCTCACCGCTGCTCCTCATTGGATCAAAGGGTTTTTTAAACAGTTAAACAGATCAATTTCGTGATGCAGATAAAAACAGATTTTATTCCATATTTAAATACCAGACAAATATAAACTATTCAAATGATTCACTCACAGCAGTGTGATTAGTGCACGTTATCAGATAGTTACACAAAATATAAACGTTAACTGATAAAATGAGTCAAAGCTTCAGAGATCCAGCAAACCAATGAAAGCAACTTTCTCCCACAGTGCATCATTTATATTAATCTTTAGTTTGAATACGATACTTTACTGTGATTGTCAGACATTTTGTCTCATCGGGCCCCAAAACAGAAACCGCACAGAGAATCAAACACTTTTGACTTTATTAACATCGTATTTGTACCTGAGACGTTTGCTCACAACACCACGTTGTTCTAAAGAAACATTTTATAACTAATGAGTCTGTGTGTAAACGTAGAAACAAACAGGATTCTTTTTCATATTTAAGGGTCTTCTGTACTTTTAAGAAACATTTTTTCATGTTCAAAGGGAAATATAAAATGGAAAGATAGTTTTGCACATTCAGAGTGACGAGGTTCTAAAATCAACTAGTGACTTTAAATTAAGTGTGAACGTGAACTTTAGCCCTCTGAGTCGCGCTGACATTTCTTTACAATCGTTGGTTCCAACAGTCAAATCTTTTCTTCTGAGTCGGTTTGATTTAAATCTAAACGTCAAATGGACCCAAACTGAACATTATTTCCCTTTAATTCCTCATTAACAGTTTCCTGTTAAGATCCCTTGATTATTTATTCACTGTAATATAAATTAGATCCCGGTAGTTACTTTGAGGGATCCCGATACTCAGCACATTCTTTATAATATTCTGATTTAACTGGAAAAAGAAGACTTGAACTCGGTGAGCAGATCGATCCAGATTAATCTGGTCATGTGATCAGTTCAGTTAGTGATGACTCCACTCGATAAATACACACAATACAATCACGTCATTTTAAGTATTTCATTTTTCTCTTATCTTCGCTCCGTGTTCCTCTTGTTTTGGTCCTGTCAATCATGTGTAAAGCACTTTAAATTGTCTTTCAAAGCTGCTTCATGATTACTGCTTTGAATTAATGATCGACGGATGAAAGTTTAATAAGCCGGCAGTCTTCATTCCTCCGCTAAATAAAACTTCAGCAAACTATCTTGTAGCTTGTTTTCTAATAAATTAATCTTCAGCTGTTTTCAGCGACATGAATTAACAATATTACATTGTTGCATTTAAATTAATCTGTTATTATCTAAAATTGTACTGAAGCAAAGAGTCTGATACTTTTGGTTCATTAGACTTACGTGTGAATTAAGAGGATTTGGTTTTAGCGTTTTCATCCTCGTTAAAACAAATGTGAACTAAAAGTTTATTCAAGTGAATCATAAAGGCAGCACATCTTAAATATAGTTTCTACTCAGAAAATACTCGTAAATACTTCATAATTCATCATAATAAATACTTATTTGGTACATATTGTTTCTGTGTAGCTTATTCTCATCTAAACATGAGGTCCAAAATAGTCAAATATCAAAAATACTTGAGTTTGGTCCGTTTCTGCTGCCTTTGAGTCACAAACACTCAGCTGCCTTTCGTCAAACAAAACTATGAACATAAAGAGAAAAGCAGCAGAATAAATAAAGTACAATCAGTTCTACTCCTTGAAGTAAAAGAGACATCAAAAACAAAGTGTCCTGCTGTCGAGCAAAAAACACACATATAAATAGTGGATGGGGAGATTTAGAGATACAGAATATAATAATAATATAAACTTGGTGTTTGTTCCCTCTGAAGACAACGTGGTTCTCACTTTGTCCCGATAAGGAGACGTGGCTCTGGGGGGGGACGGGGGTCCCGTCTCTACCTCAGCCGGGCGGAGAAGCAGCGCATGTACTCCGTCACCCAGCGGTCGTCCACCGCCGTCAGCTGAGACGTCCTCGTCTTCTCCAGGTCGGCAGAGCGAGCCCGCCGCCGGTCCGGCTCCGAGGCCCGTTTACCGGACGCCCGCCGGGTCTGAACGCAGGCGTCAGACGTGAGGATCTGAGGGAGAAACCACAGGGGGGGGGTTCAGAAACGCACACCTGTGTTGCATTATTGATGCCTGCAGAGTTTCCGGTGACTCGGCGCCGCTTCTCCGGTGTCCTGAGGCCGCCTCCGGTGGCTTCAGCGCCGTTGTACTAAATGTCATCCCATCACATCACATGTCATCTAGCGGACTTACAATAAGTGCGTTCCACTTATCGTCACTCACGTCATTCGGCGCCCTCTTGACCTCCGCGTGTCTCTCGGCCCAGTCCGGGCGGCCGGGCGGCCTGCGGCTCTCCTTGGCGCCGATGGGCGGCTGGCTCTTCGCTCTCGGCGTTTTGCGGGGCGCGGCCGGTTCGTCGGCGGGGGGGCCGTCCTGGCGAGGGGGGGTGCGGCGCCGGGGCCGTCGCTTCGGCGGCGAGTTCGTCGGCTCCCCCTCGGAGGACGTGGAGTCGGCGGGGCCGCTGTCCGCGTCCCCCGAGGACCCGCCGGGGTCCGGAGCCACCGCCGCCGCAGACCCGCCACCGTCCTCGCTCACGCCGTTTTCTACAACTGCAGGTCGACACACAGGAAAGTGTGCAGCTCAGAGAAGCTCTGATGATGTCATTGGTAGCCGGAGTGACGCGATGGTTGGATCACTATGACGTCGTCTGTTTGGTGGAGTTCTGTTCAGGTCAAATGTGACATCACTAACATCTCAGTGCGTGAGATCACGTCCCAAATTTACTACAATACAATAATACATTTGATAAGGAAAACACACATAATCTGACTAAATGCTGTATTAAATTAAACGTTGCTGTGGCATTCACATGTTTGTTTGGCTCAGCATTTTAATGTCAGGAATGGAGGTGAGAATCATTTCCAGTCTGATGACCCGGTAGCTCTTTTTATCGGAGATTAGTTCTCTGAATCATTCCATCCTGTCGCCGAACCTTCAGTCCCAATATTTTTTAGCAGCAGCGTCTGAGTTTTAGCAGTTTTTCTGTCTCTGCTGCGGTCGGAGTGACGCTCACACAGGAGCACGAAGGAACCGCTGCCGCGGTTCTGTTAGATCATCATTGCTGAAACAGAAGGAACGTCCTCTCCAGGCTTCAGTTATAACTCGGTTTTCTCACGTGAATCCTGAACCCTTGAGTGAGCATCTGCTTCCAGGACGGCTGAACTCAGAGTGATGAAGATAGCCGGGATAATTATATAACTTCATAAATAGTCAGATTAGTGTCTGTGGGAGCTATTATTTAGTCCTTTATTCTTAAATATTATAGTTTTTTTGTATTTGGTTGAATCATTTTGTCACTAAGTATGTGTAGTTTTGGGTAATTGGACCTTGCTAACCAGGAGGAGTAATGTTACTATTTAGCATCTAACGATGCTAACATGGTTAGCATTGTCTCCTTCACCACTAGTCAAGTGGATGCAGGTATTTGGTCATAATGTGTTTAAAACGACTGATATTTAAAAGGTCAAACGAATGTCTTAATGTCTGAGCAAAAGCTGCAGGGATCAATTTATTGATTAGTAGATAAGACTGAAAATGAGGGTTTTGATCTCTAAACAGGAAGTGATCCTGAAGCGTACCGGCGGACTCGATCAGACGTTTTCTAGTACACAACGAAACAACAACCGCAGGCAGAGAGGACTCGTCACCGGCGCGTCACCCAGGTTATTCCGGAGGTAGATACGCATCAGTAGCTCAAAGATAATACGGAGCTTCTTTAACAGCTTCAAATATCTCTGGGATTTTTATTTATTTACGTATGAAGATATTGAGGTTGCCTGGTAAATGGCGTGTGTGGTCATAGATCACTTCTTGAGATGAGTCAGTATCGGTGACGTGCTCCTCACCTGCGGCGGGCGCAGCGCCTCCGCCCGCTTCTCCGGCCACTTCTCCGCCTCTCCTTTCCCCAGAAGGCGGGTCCGTCCTCGGCTTCGCCCCCGCGGCCGGCCGGGCGACGGACAGGGGCGCGGTTTTGTTGCGGCTCGGCCTCGGCGTGGACCAGCCGCTGGATCCCGAGCTGCTGTCCCAGCCCTCCCAGAACCAGGGCTTGTGGGAATGCTCCATCACCCGCCGGCTCAGACGGTACTTCAGGGAGTCCTCGTAACACTTGGAAAACGTCTCCCATTTGGGATCCCTGAACCTCTTCATGTACTCCGTCCGGATTTTCTTGGTCACCATGGTTCCTGTTACTGCTGCTGTCTGGACCGTTTCACTGGGGAAAGCAGAGGACGATATAGTCTACTAATTATTACTGTATAATATGAGTATTTAAAGCAGAACATGTCCCCTATGACTGTTATGCTACCATATTGTTATTGGATTATTATTACTAATGCATTCATGTAAAAGAAGGTTTTACTGTTCATTTTGAATAATTAACTAGTGATCTTTTTTTGTAATTTAAGTCCAAAATAATAACAATGAATGCGCTTTGCAATAATAAAAACATTCCACCATCGATAATGACATGAAACCAAATGAATGAATTTGAATGTCACTGACAGGATACCTGCGGCCGCCTCGTGACGTCATGGGGTGACGGTGTGGTCTACCTGTAAGCCCCGCCCACCTCCTTTCACAGGGATTACGGTCAGAGGCTGCAGCTCATTAGTCTCAGTACTGATGTGCAGCTCCTTCTCACACTAGCAGACGTGTTTCTGTCAGGAGACCCACCGCCTACACACATGTTCCACATCATGTAGCATCTAAAGCCCGTGAGAATAAACTGCATCCATTATTCATTCATGAGGTGACGTTTGATCCAAGAACGAAACCGGGACGATATTCACCGTCAGCAGCAAATTATTGCAGATTCATTGGTGTATTTATTTTGTTAATCTCGTAACTGAAACGCTCTTATTTTGAAGCCTTTAATTTTCACAGTTCACAAACATCGTATTTTATAATTGTATCATTTAAAACCCCGCAGAGAAAAACAACACATTCAATAACATCTTGTACACGTTGAAACAAAGTCATAATGTTTAAAAATACGAGTTTTAGCCGAGAGCCTCCGTGTGAAAGCAGCAGCATCGTCGCAGCCGTTACCGGAACCTGAGCGCCCCGTTAAGCCCCGTTTGTAAACACGGTGGCGTTTGACGGCTTTGGTACATTTGAGGTTAACTGTTTAAATATAACGTGCAGCGGGCTTTAACTCACCGGACCTCCTTCCTGAGGGGTCCAGTCTGTGTTCAGGACCCGACAATCGCTTCCCTCCCGCGGTCACGCGCCTCACATCGCTCCGGTCCTCAGCGACCGTCAGGATGCACCGAGAGCTACAAGCTAGCTAGCTAGCTAGCGCAGAGCCACGAGCTTCCGCCGGAACCTTTCAGAGTAAAACACCACAGCATCACATACGAATTTCTAACATAAACAAACGCTCCGCTGCGTGGACTTTAAAAGTGAAAAGTTCCATGCTTCCGGTTGAGCTGTTGCATTTCGATATTTGTTTTAATCTAATTTGTTTCATATTGTATTGGAAATGTATGAATAGTTAGACAAAACAATGAATGAATAAACCAACATTTGTGTGAGTTGACTCTTTTGTTTGTGTCCTGCAGTGAATGTGAGGAAGATGTATGAAGAGCTGCAGAGAGGACATATTTATCTACATGTTTACAGGAGGACGTCACACTGCAGCCTTTCATTTAATGTGAATTATTACAGAGAATGAACAGACGTTTATGCTGCTTACAGGTTCATCAAGATGATCTTCACATATTGTGACGTAGTGCTTTTGAGGCCAACACCTACACAGGATGGTGGCGTCAAGGACTCACTGAGGTTTGAGTTGGGATGAGGTGCAGTCAAGTTAACTCAGCGCTCTGGGATGCGATCAACCATTCGGTTTTATTATCCTCGGTGGTCTTCAGGAAAACAAACACTTCTAATGGACAAACATAAACGAAAGGAACCAAATAACTACAACCTCTCTGCAGGTGACTTCACTCCAGCCCCCAGCGTACTTCTTCTTCTGTGGTGTTTAACGGCGGCTTGCATCCTTTTTTGTTGCATTACCGCCATTCCCCATCAGCAAAAAATGTATAAAGCACCTTCTTCCAAGCTTACTCAACCCCCACTCTCGTACAGTTTGTCTCGCTTCCGTTCATCTCTTGTGTTTCAATTTCCTTCAGCATGTCTTTCCTCTCTGCGCTGTATCTATTACACACGTGCGTTTGTATATTTCACTCCTGTACGATGCGATCGCTACAGCAGCTCCTTTTCTGTCCGTATCTGGGTCTTTGGATCCATCGGTAAACACCTGCACCTGCTCTGCATATTTACTGTCCGTGTATTCATAGAACTCACTAACAAGGTCAGAGTTCTTTCTTCTTACTTTACTTTGCAGCAACTCCATGTCCACCTCTGGTTCCTCAAGCAACCACACAGGAGTTATTGGCCAAATGACAGCAGGGATAAGCTCCATATCAGCTGCTGCTAAGCTTCTTCCTGCTGCTCCTCCTATCCATCCAAAACTAGTCTTTGGTCCTTTGTGCCTTTCCCAGCATGCCTGTACCACTTTTTTTGCAGGGTGATCATCTTTATGCCCTCTCAGGTTTACCCAATAATTAACCATCAGCTGCTTTCTGGGATGACACAACGACATTTCCCCAGTCTCTACTTGGACGGCGCCCACGGGAGACGTTCTTGCTGCACCTGCACAAACTCTCAGGGCCCTGACCTGGACAACGTCTCCCTCCCAGCGCTTCCCTTTCCCCTCGCTTTTATACAGCCTTCTAGTCAATTGGGTAATTGTGAGAAACCAACTGGCTGGGGGTTCTGTCAGGTCTAATTGAACATGCTGTATCCTACACAGTTATGATAATAATTCACATACGTTCTTATCATAACGTCAACACTGTTGTCATGTGGATGTGAACAATTATATAATCAAGTGCTGACATTAATGTGCACATTTAGGCGGTTACATACATATTCTGTACCCTGACCAAACAAGGAATGAACTAGCCCACTTGTCAGTCAATTTGGGGAGAAGGCTCTCGTGTGTCTTTTCACACATATTAACAACACTTTTATGATGTTTCCTTTTAGAAGAAGTAAGACGATAACATCAAAGCAGCTTCTTGTTCTGCAGCTCATGCACACTAATGACGTAGAGAGGAAGGAAGCTCTGCTGGGGATGAACAGCAGCTTGTTACCAACTCCAGAAGAGACGAGCTGACCTCAGAGACATCAGCCTCCTCTTTAATGTAGACGTGTTTCTGGTGACTTACTGAATAAAGAGTTTCTGATCTGCTGATTGAACACAGAGGAGCAGCTATGAGTCCATCAGCCGGTGGATTAGTCGTCTTCCTTCTCTCTGTACAAGGTACTGTACTTCTACATTTATATTGTGAGGCCGTTACACACCTCACACACACACAGGGAGCTGTGTTTTTACTTCACACACAGGTCTGATGTCATCACACACAAATAATGACTAAATGAACATTAACAAAGAAGAAATGCTCTGAATAATTTGTCTCTGTTGAACTTCCTCTAATCGTTCAGCAGCGTTTCTTTGCATTAGACCACATTTAGAGGCTGTTATTCACTCCGAGTCTCTGACGACGTCTGTTCTTCTTTTTGGAGCATTTTATTGTGTATTTGTGGTCATTTTTATTCTCTTCCTGGTTGTTCAGTGTCTCTTTGAGGGACATTTTGCAGCTTTGATCCGTGTCACAGATCATTGATTCACTGCCGGATGCTGAAAAGTCACATTCTGTGGTTTTAGACGAATAGATATTGTTTTGGTTTATTCTATTTCTTATTTTTTGTTGACTTTTGAAAGCCAGTCGAGTCTTAAAACACTTCTTATCAGTGACGTGTGATCTAATCAGCACATAAATGTCACGTTAGGGGGGAGGTGTGAAAATGTGCGTTTCCGTGCCGCCATTTTGTCAAAAATTGACCAAACATGGTCATTTCCTTGTTTTTTAGGCGTGTGTGTGTAAAATAGTAAGATGTGCCCACACACACACACACACACACACACACAATATATTCAATTTCAGACAAAATGGCAGCCAAATTGCCTGAACAGACACACGTGTATTTTCACACTTTCCCCCCAAAGGTGCCGTTCATATTCTACTAATCTATATGTCACAGTATCGTTCCCCTCAGAGTTCTGCATTTCTCTACAGTTTCCATCTCCACTCTGCAGCAGACTGACCACAGACAGAAGAGCACAGAGCAAAGACACTCTTCTTCTCATCAACCAAACCCTTCTAATACTTCAACTTGAGCTTTTTCAGGTCCACAGGTTCAATACGTCGCTGTTCCTTCCAGCTGCAGAGTCCATGTGGACATCGTGGACTCTTTCATTACTTTCTATAAACTCAATGATTTTCATATTTCTCATCATATCTTTTCTCTTCAGTAAACTACCAATGAGAGTGTGTCCTGTGATGTTGTTCTGAGTGTGACTGTGGTTCCTGATGTGCTGTGTTACAGTGATACAGAGTCAGGATGGATGGAGAGTGGATTACGATCAGACTGACGTCTGTGCTGCAAAAGGATCAAGAGTGGTCATATTCTATAACTACACACACCCACCTGGAATAGATCCCTCTGATATAAAGGACAGATTCTGGTTCACTAAAGAGAAAGATGGTGAACCTGTGGATCTGAGAACAGACTCTGAGTATTCAGGCCGTGTCAAGTACGAATGTTATAGTTATAGTGATAGTTGTTATCTGATCATCACAGACGTGAGAGAGAGCGACTCAGCTGAGTACAAACTCACATTGATGACAAACAAACCAGGCGAGAAATATACTGGTTCACCTGGAGTCACTTTGTCTGTCACAGGTAACATTTTAATTCACATATTAATCATCTACAAATGTTCAACATCTAGAAAACTAGAGTATAAATGTCTTCTGTGAATGTTGACACTTTAATAAATAATATTCACTGATTCAGGTCTCCAGGTGCAGGTGAGAAGATCAGATTCTACCTGGTTGGAGCTGACGTGTCACAGCAGCTGTGTTCTGTCTGATCGTGCTGAATACGTCTGGTACAAGAATGAAGAGAACATCAAAGAGAGGATCTTCTCTTCTAGTCTCCTCTGGTTCTACAGACAGATATTCCCTGTTATTTCAGAGGATCTTCTGGTCGACGTTCTCCTGCAGTGTGTAAGTTCACTCCAACCTGTGTCGGCCTGTGGAGCTTCACCAACATCTCACATGGAGGCACCAGACCGCTGCATGTAAACTAGAGGCATCAAAAAGATGAAGCACAACGTTCCTCAGGAGGTGGAGCCGTGGTCCACTGAGCAGAGGGTTGCTGGTTCAATCCCCGGCCCCTGCAGTCTACGTGTAGAAGAGTCACTCACACACTGACACAACAATATGATTCTAATCACAGCTGTAAACACGCTGGAGTCTAACTGTTAAAGGAGACACAGATCTTTATTTATGTCATTCTCTTATTAATAGAAACACAAATATAAACTATCAGCAGACAGAATAATGTGATTTTCATAAAGACTCAAGTGAATTATTCCAGAACATAAGTAGAAGTGACGTGTCAGCTGGTGGAGGAAACAATCAATAACTCCTACAACAACTAGAAGTGAGAGGACAGACTCAGCTAAGGACACAAGCAGCATCTACAGAGAAGAATGTGTGGAGATATGAACATTACAAAGGATTAAAGGCTGCTTATTGTCACTTTACACCAGCAGGAGTCTCACCTGTGACAGCTGCTGTGATGAATACTAGAGATAGTCTGAGAGAAAGACACACAAGTATTCATTCAAATGATCAACTATCTACGCTAACATCTTCTAACCTCTTAGTATGTTTATTCACGTCTCCTCCAGATGGTCCACAGCGTCCCTCTGTGTCAGTGAGTCCCTCTGCTGAGATGCTGGAGGGCGATTCAGTGACTCTGACCTGTAGCGCTGATGCTAACCCAGCAGCTAACTACACCTGGTACAAGGAGCATGAAGACTCACCACGAGCATCAGGACAGATCTTCACCATCACTGACTTCACAGCTGAACACAGTGGGAATTATTACTGTGAAGCCCAGAACGAGATGGGACGTAGTAACTCCACCTTACGTCTGATTACTGAGTCTGGTGAGTTTCTCCATGACAGGAATCGTCTGATCAACAAACAGCATCTCCTGCACGTTTATCCATGAATCAAGTCCTTCTGATGAGGTAACGTGCTGTTTGTCTAATAACTGTGTGTCTCCAGGTGTTGATAGAACAACAATGATATTTCACATCACCAGGTGGCCTCTGCTGGTTGTGATGCTGATTCTTCTGCTTCTCTTTTGTCTGTGGACGAGGTAAAACAACTAGAACTCATTCTCACTGAGCTTTTACTTTGAAAAGGTCCATCAATCTATTTGTGTATCTGTTTGTTTTATGACTGAATGCAGGAAGAAGAAAGCTGTGAGCTCCACCACTGAACCACGTGAGTCCAGAGAGGCTGTGGAGGTGAGACATTTGTCCTCAGAGACAGAACTCACCAAAGGGTCATCGTCTGTTGTTATTAAGTCATGAAGATAATTCAGAAGTAACTTCATCACTAACATCTTTCTCCTTTTGAACCACCAATATTTATTTACCACGTCTACTGCAAATGTCCTTTGAATCCAAAGAGCGATTTAAAGGACAAAGAGTCGTATTGACCATCAGCTAAGCCCCTCCCCTTGGTTACTGTTGCCAGGTCTGTCCAGCTTCAGCATCACAGCACGTAAACATGGCGGTGAAATGTCGGGATGCAAACCAGCAACGTTTACATTTCAGTCATACAGACTTTCACTAAATACGCTTGTGTCTTCACCAGAAGCACATTTAGGAAAAGATTATGAAATACTTGGTTAAGTTCAGGCGACAAAACTACCAGAGTTTAGGAATAAATATTAGTTAGCGTTAAAATAACTCATTTAAAGTACTGAAGTCACGAGACAAAGTTGTACTTGTTGTTTCACACCAGGAACAAACAAGGATCTCCTGGGTGACAGATTTATGTTTGTTACACATTAATGAGAATAATTCATATTCGACTGTCATGCTAAGCTAGCTAACGTCATTAGCATCTTACCTCGGAGCAAACAAAGGAGTTTTTATTGATCGTTGATGGATTCAGTCTTCCACATGTTTAATCCATAAGTGACATCAACCCTCTAAAGGCCTCTGGTCCCTAGTTACGGTTGCTAACGTAGGAATGTACAGTGTGCGTTGGGGGAGGGGCTTAGCCGAGGGTCGGTTGTATCTGAACTGCTTCTCTGAGGCCTTTGACTCTCATCGTCTCTCCATCAGATGGACCTTCATCCTGAGTATGAGGACCCCTCACACATGGCAGCACAGAGAGGAGACCCAGAGGAGCAGGAGGACCAGGTGTGAAGGTCAGCCAGGTGTCAGTCTGCTGCAACTCAAAACAACTTCCTGCTTCCATTTCTGAGGAATAACTTCATGTGATCTTCTTCAGATGCAGTCAAACCAGAGGGAGACTCACCTGGACGGAGACGGGAACAAGTGGACATATTTCCCTTCAGTACCACTAGTTAATATCTGAGGTCTTTTATTTTAAATGTTCTTTTATTGTGAATTGCATTGGTAGAAAACTTTGAATTTCATTGTTGCTGAAATGGGTTTTATACATAATCTTGACTTAAAATATCAGAAGCAGTGGCGTGCAGCTAAATATTCGTAGTGCTTTAATTATACCTGGTTGTGTGTGTGATTTAATGTTAATGCAATAAACTGCTTTTAAGAAATACTGATCACCATCTCATCCAGTCCACAGTGTAATATTCCTTGGAATAGAGAATCCGCCTTCTCAGTGGTCTCTACCTGCTGTTCTTCTGTACTTGTAGATGGAATCCGTGTTGTAAACTGGGGCGGCTGCTTATCTGGGGTGTTGGGAACAGATACTAGATACGAGTTAATTATATTACTTAACGTTACATTTAGTAGTGAACTTTTCCTCACCTGTCCCTGTCCTGAATAAATGAAATCCTCATGGTACCGCACTGCATGCTGGGATATGCTGCGCCGCAAAGGACGGGTCAGATGTGTCCTCCAGACCGGCTCCTGGAGGACTGCGTCCCTCGACCGCGTTCGGAGGAGCCGACGGAACTGGACAGCCGAGTCGCAGCCGAAGTGACGCGCGTGGGGTCGACGGATGCGTTCCGAAGGATGCAGCCTGGGGAATTGAGACACGGCCGGATGCTTCCTCAGGCTTAGCTGAGAACAATGGATTCAAGCCAACTGCTAAACTGCTTTAACGCCTTTAATCTGTCACTATTCTACGATGTGACCCCGCAGGAGCCCGCCTCCGGATCAGATTCTGTATTTATACGCTCACTGTGGCGATTAAAGAGGACGAGGGGATCCGGTCTTTAATTCATTTGAAGTGGTACCAAATTGTGAGGTATCAGCAACGCCACCTTGGGAATTCCACCCAAGGATTCAGTCTTCCCCACGCAGTATTTCCCAAGAAGACACAGAATTGTTTCTACAGAACAGCATGAGACGAGTTTCCACTTCAAAAACACTCGAAACAGTCTTTACAAATGACATGTAAAACACTAACAAACGAGCCATGTGCATTAATTAAGAGAGGTGTAGGGCTGCGGCTTACGAGTGGCCAGGAGGCCCAGTACAGGTGAGGATCCCAAAGGAGGAGACACCCCGAGCACACGTGTACCACACACACACACATGATCACACATGAGGGTTCCAAACCCAGGGTACCGCAAACGTCACAGCAGACACCCGGATAAGAAGGATGTCTGTGGTTGATGAGTTTATTGAGAGTCCTTCCGAAGTTCTTTAGCAGAGTTGCACTAAGGACCAGTTGGTATTGAGTATTACGACATTGGCCTTACAGCAGATGATAAGAAGCGTAAGGAGACTTTGTTCAAGGACGTTTTTGCAGGCCTAGTAGATAGGGAGTTCCTTTCTGAGGGAGAGGAGGAAGTTCTGTTTTTCATCCTGCTTCTGAGTTGTCAGCGGCTAGCAGTTCATCGGAACAGGAACCCAAACTTTGGGAATATAAATTCCAGGAGTGTAGACTGCAATAGGAAACGGCTAAATTAGATAGATAGATAGATACTTTATTGATCCCTCAAGAGGGAAATTTTGGTATCACAGCAGCATACCAAAATATCCCTCTTGAGGGATCAATAAAGTTAAGGGTTGAGAGAGAAAATCGAAGTGTCAAAGAGAGGGAGATTGCGAAAGAAATTGAAATTAAGAAATTGGAGGTCGATTTTGACTTGAGAAAACTGGAATATGAAGCGGTTGAAAAGGACAGACAAAGAGGTTATCAGAGGGAGCGCGAGGAACGCCAGTTCGAGTCACGCAAGCTGGAGTTTCCATCAGATGTTTCGCACTTACTGTTTTGATTCTGCTCGAGAGTGGGATGATGGTCTCCCACTGCTTTTGTTCGCAGTGCGTGAAACGACTCAAGAGTCACTAGGGTTCAGCCCAGCGGATTTGATCGTTGAAGTTGTTGCGTGAGAGGTGGGGCGCAGAGACCACTGAACCACAAGACAACGTGCTGGACTAAGTCGGTGCATTTCGTGAACGCTTGCACAAGGCTTTTGCTTGTGCTCAGGAAGCTCTATTGTCCGCTCAGTCGACGATGAAGACTCGTTATGACCTGAGTCTGTTCACCGCTCATTTCAGGAAGGTGACTTAGTCTTGGTGTTGTTGCCTGTTCTTGGGTCCGCCCTCCAGGCTAAGTTTTCGGGGCCTTATGAGGTAGAGTTCCAGATTAGTGACACTGACTATGCTATTGGTACGCCAGACAGACGTCGTAAGACTTGCGTGTGTCACATTAATATGTTGAAGCCGTATGCCTCTGCGAGTGTGTGCCCTGTGCTTGCGGTTTCTGCAACTCCTACGGTCTCCCCCTATTCTCCAGAGGAGGACGGCCTGAGTTTTTGTGACGTCTCGGTTTCTTGTCCTGGTCTTTAGAACTCTGAAATGTTTAAGGATTTGCCTAATATTCTTGCCCACTTGTCGGATTCTCACGCTAATGATGTCCGGGGGTTGATAGAGTTTTTTCCTGAGTTGTTTTCAAATGTTCCATCGCAGACTAATGTCCTTACTCACGACATTGATGTGGGTGACCATCAGTCCATCAAGCAGCATGCTTATCGGCTTAATCCGACAAAAAGAGCTGCTATGAGTTCGGCCGTGCAGTACTTGGTGGATCACGGGTTAGCTGAACCGAGTTCCAGTGCCTTGATCTCCCCTTGCATCTTAGTTCCAAAGCCTGATGGAACAATTTGTTTCTGTACTGAGACCCGTAAGGTCAATGCTGTGACCAAGCCTGACTCGTTTCCACTCCCTTGCATGGAGGACTGCGTGGACCGAGTGGGCTCAGCCCGTTTTGTCACCAAGCTTGAACTTGCTAAAGGGATATTGGCAAGTCCCCTTGACCCACCGTGCTGCTGAAATTTCTGCATTTGTTACCCCTGACTGCTTCATGCAGTACTCAGTCATGGCTTGTGGACTTCGCAACGCTCCAGCCAGTTTCCAGCGCCTGATGAGTAAGGTTTTAGTTGGCCTGCAGAACTGTGAGGTGTATTTAGACGACACAGTCCTACACTCATCCTCTTGGACCAGTCGCCTCGAGCTGATCCACATTGTTTTCCATCGGCTCCGTGATGCCTCACTGACCTTCAACTTGGCTAAGTGTCAATTTGGAAAAGCCACCGTAACATACTTAGTAAAACAAGTTGGCCATGGTCAGGTCCGCCCTGTGGAGGCCAAGATTGAGGCCATTGTTGATTTCCCGACTCCCAAAACCAAGCGTGAGATGCGCCGGTTCCTGGGGATGGCCAGCTACTACCGTAGCTTTTCTCATCTTTTCTGATGTTGTGTTGCCCCTTACTAATCTGCTTCGTAACACCACCGATTTTGCATGGTCTGTTGATCGTGAGACTGCGTTCCAAAACGCCACGGCGTTGCTCTACAGTTCTCCGGTGCTCGCTGCTCCAAATTTTGACCTGCCGTTTAAACTGGAGGTTGATGCGAGCGCAACGGGAGCTGGTGCTGTCCTCCTGCAGGAAGGTACAGATGGACTGGATCACCCAGTCTCTTACTTCTCCAAAAAGTCCCTAAAGCATCAGTGGAACTATAGTACGATCGAGAAGGAAGCACTTGGCATGTTGTTAGCTCTGCAGCACTTCGAGGTTTACATTGGGTCCACTGCAGGACCTGTTTGTGTGTATACTCACCATAATCCTCTTGAGTTTCTTTCCAGGATGAAAAATGCCAACCCAGCAGCCCAGCAGACGACTTTATTGAGGATCCATCTTGATTGGGTGCACCATCAGAGCCGGCCCCTTTAAAACACATCAGCCAGGGGGGACCGGGGAGAGGAAAAGAAGCATGTGGCTGGTTTGGCTGCCACCATGTTCAAGAACAATAAACTCTTTACTATTGGTCGCTACGTTCCTTATTTTCCATCGCGTTTGTTTTTGTTATGTTGCCGGACCGTAGCAGGGAACATAACAGTCCTCTAATCCTTCATATATTCTTTAGGTGATAGTGCGCTGATTTTGTAACTGTCTTGATACGACTGGTCAGGTACCGAATCCATGATTACACATAGCTTCTATAGAGTAAAGAGGTATGAGCAGGATGACACAACTAAGTATGAGGGCTGAAACCCTCTTGAGATTTTCGGACTGCAGGCCGACTTTTAAAGTTGTTTTTTTGACAATTTGTACTCTTGAGGTTTGTCTTTGATTTCATACATTTTTCTCCCTTATCTACTTTTACAACTTTCTTTTCTTTTATTAGAAAAACAAATAAAACTGGTTTGTATTTTTTACATTCCAACCAAAGTTCAGTCTTGCTCATCTCTCACAGTGACTCGTTGATTTTCCCTTGAAACATGCTGAGAAAAGATGAATTCAAATCTAAATGAAGTGTGTTAGGACCAGGGAGCAGAAGCTGTCCTTTGTCGCCGAGCAACGTTCCCACACAGGCCTTCAGTGGTGACGTTTCACAGCGAGTCCATCTTGGACCACTTCCTGTCCTCCTGCACCTCTTGTTCATTGATGTCTGTAACAGGTTGGTCCTCTGGGGGGGTCTTGGAATGACGAGCACGAGGCAGTCGGGTCCATTATAAATGTTTTTATTTATTGTTCACACCAAAACGCCGCCGGCTCCAGCCTCCTCGCCTCGCTCTCTCGCTGTCGCCGGCTCTCTCCTACTTAACAGCAGAATACAAATGCTGATTAACATCAGCTGAGGCCAATTGCCTCCCCCCCGGCACCGTTTCCTGAACCGCTCCCTTCTCAGTCCCCCCCCTGCAGCCGAGCCAAACCAGGGCCGCCACCACAATGTCCTCTCAAGTATTTCCAGAGAGAGACACAGTTGCTACAGCAGCACCGTGGAGCACGGAAAGCACCAGATGTTCTCTGGGCTTCCCTCACCATAAGTCTGGACATATCTTCAGAGGCGCTAAGCCATTTGGCAGAAGATCCATGTTTACTAAGAACTTTTCAGAGCTCCCAGTGTAGTGTGACTTAGGCCTGTGATCGGGTTGAGACATACAGTAAATTGGTCAATTTTAATGGATTATTAAGATAGTTATAATAAAGTCTGAGTAGTAAATGAAAAACCACTAACATAAAGAGTTTGTTATCCCTGTCATCAGCTGCAATAGATTTAATTTCTGAAACTGGGCTTGACTTAATATTTGTTTATAATAGATCATCTGAGTTTGTTGGTTAAGAACAATGTATTCATTTAAAAATCT